CACCCCCGCGTTCGCGGCTGCGGCCAAGCGAACTGGGTGGACTTGCGAAGTAAGGTTGTGGATCAAATGCTTCTGGACCATGCACTATCGGGAGCGTTAGCGTGTGTTACTGCATTAACTGGGACGGTTCTAGTTCCGACGTATTTGTGTTTTCTCCGATGAATTCCAAAACATTTCCTTGAACAACTGGCTCAAGTTGTAGATCGCGGGCGATCCTCATGTTCCTGCCTGTGGGAGAGGAAGCGAAGCGGCCATCGGGGACTCGTGACGCGCAGGGGGCGTGGCGCGGGTGCGGGGGAGCGGCGAACTGTGGTTAGAGGGTGGCTATCGCAGACTATTGGATATGTCAGAATGTGATGCCTAAGACAGAGAGACAGACAGAGAAAGAGAAAGAAAGAGAGACAAAGAGAAAAGGAGAGAAAGAGAAAGGGAGAGAAAAAGAAAGAGAGAGAAAGAGAGAGAAAGAGAGATAAAGAGAGAGAAAGTGAGAGAAAGAGAGAGAAAGAGGGAGAAAGAGAGAGAGAGAAAGAGAGAGAGAAAGAGAGAGAGAGAAAGAGAGAGAGAAAGAGAGAGAAAGAGAGAGAGAGAAAGAGAGAGAAAGTGGGAGAAAGAGGGAGAAAGAGAGAGAAAGAGAGAGAAAGAGAGAGAAAGAGAGAGAAAGAGGGAGAAAGAAAGAGAAAGAGAGAGAGGCAGAAGGAGAAAGAGGGGAATTATCAACAGAATATCCCTTCTACATTTTCGTCTGCGTTCGCATCAGCTTCCATTTATCACGTAGTCCATCCATTTTACGCCCTTAAACAAACGCACTTACGCCCATAATATATACTGTCATCCCCGGCCTATCGCTCATTGTCCTCGCGTCAACCCCACTCTGCCTTTTTGTGTCTAGTTTATGCAACGCGCGATAAGCAACAGCACATATTTGTTGGTACGAAAACAATACCACGTTTATCATGCGGGTTTTGTGTACACTCCGGAGGATGAACATAATCAATACTGTGGACGAACTTGGAAGGTGGTGGAATTTTTTTTTTAAGTAATGTTTAAAGAATGTGACTTCACAAAGTAGTGTTCAACTGGAGAGCTGTTTACTATATCTGAAACGTCAGAATTCGTCACCAATTTTCGCTCTGTTATTGCTGCGTATTCTGTGTAAGTCACACTTATAATTACCTGCCTTACACTACCACCCATGTTGGAAGATTATTTAGGAGATATTTGATAAGTGATAACCCCGCTAGACGCCGTGAATGTTGGCGTCGGATCTTGCCATCCGGCGGGGGAAGATCACAGCATGCACTACACTTACAGGACCTTCGCAGCTGACGCGTGTGGAAACCCTAATCAATCCAATCAATGTTCTGCGTAAGTGCAAGTTGTGCTTCACATTATAGTAGATGCGACTCGTGAATATTATTTATTTCATACTATGTCGCATTTAGTTTGTTTACGTGCCTCAAAGGCCTCGCCGTATGCCGTAAGGTAGGGCTTTGCGGCAAAGTGTACCATAATAATATATCATACCAATTTATCAACATGAATATTTGGTATCAACATTTCTGATTTATTTTATAAATACACGGCAAGCACCAACGAGGCAATTGATTACAATAATGAGAAGGAAACCTACAATCATTCACAAAAATGTAGCTAACAGTTCCACATGATGACGAAGTTAGAGAACTTATTTATTTTTAATTTTTAAATGCAGATAAACAATATTTACGTAATTCATCTGAATATTTATAGTCATATTAAATGTACACTCAGGTCTTTTGTTTTCAATTGTCTTCCTTGACATTTAATCAACTTTTTCTTAATGATCGCTGTTAATTTATAAACTCTGGAAATGTGCTTATTACATTGCACCAATAACATGCATTTATTCATGGAATATCTCCATCAATATTCACCTTCCTGGGCTATAGCAAAATTACTATTAATAGTTACAAAATACATTACGATATCATGTCGCTCTAATAGGAACCACATACCAAGTGTGATAAGTAATCCAACATTACATTATCATTAACTATGTTAAAATTATTTGTATTTTATCATGTTTTGTTCTGTTTCATTGGATTCACCTATTGACGGTTTATCAAGCATTTCTCCATCTTTAAATTCCGTTTTAAAATCTTCAGATCACTGCATTTCGTTCACAGACATCAAGGCGCCGTTAGCAATTGTTTATTGGCACTCGTTAATCGTGAAATATGCAATGTGAAATTAAAATAAGAATAAGGAATGCGATATAGTATGAAATAAAACGTGTTTCGACACACGGGTGAAAATATTACATTACTAGTTAGAAATTCCAACCCCGCTCCTAATATCGCCTCGGCTCTAAACATATCACTCGTAATATAACATTTCCCATCCCTATGATGTAAATTACTTGTAGACTGTTACAGGTACGCGTAACGCTTAACAATTAGGTACAATATGGAATATGCTCATTCGTATTGCTCTAAATTCTGAAAAGATAGAAGTGTTACTATTCATTCCAGGATGTTGAGAGGTTCTAAAAAAGGATAGTTTCTCTCCGCAAAATATTTCTGCTGACATCACTATCATAACGTACAGGATATTTTTATAATTAATATCGTAATAAAATATTTATATCGCTTCATAAATGCTGCTAATATCTGGAATGCGATCGGTTTATAGTGAGGCCATATGATCTCAAGAGCACATTTTATGATATTAATAACCCTCCTAGATCCGCCGGTTTTCCCCGAGTTTAGTGCCCACCAGACTACGATAAAGAGTACAGTGTCTGACCTCATATCCGGCGTTTCACCACCAATTCACCACAGCCGCCATTGCCGTCGCCAACACCACCACCACCACTACTTTAAAGAGTACAGTGTCTGTCCTCATCTCCGGCGTTTCACCACCAAATCACCACAACCACCATCACTACCACTACCACCACCACTACCACCACCACCATCACCACCATCACCATTACCACCACCACCACCACCCACCACCACAAAGCCCCGCCCTACATCGGCGCGTTCCGGCTCTATACCTCGCCCTCGCCCCGTCCCACACCCGTTCGTCCCGTCGCATTCACCGTCTCCCTTACCACACACGCGCATTTCCACTCTGTCACGCCTCCGTCCCGCCCTCGCGGCCTTGTCTTTTCCGCTCTCGACGCCGTCCTCACACCCACTGCTGTTGCCGACCTTGTCCTAGTCCGACCTGCCCTCGATGGCCGCCTTCCCGCTTGCGACCTCGCGAGCTGTCTTCTGGCGCCCCAAATCCCTCACCTCTCCCCCGACTCACCACTCCACACTTCGCCCGTTCTTTTACTGACACACCGCCTCTCGCCCCTCCCGCACACCACGTCCTCAGCCCTTTACTCTCCTCCGTGTCTCGCGGTTTTGTTGATTGATTTGCGTCAACTGCTAAGGACATTAGTCCCGTAAGTGTTTTTTTTCGTGATACGGCGGTAACATTGTCCTATTGGGTGATGAGATTGCACCGACCTACCGTCGGCTAACGGAGTTTCCCCTAACAAGGTATCTCACACCAACTAGACACCGCCCCAGCCGGGACAAACTCTAACGATTCCCGTAATATGCTAGTGCAGTGCATGTTAGTGAAAATGTCAGTATAAGGGGTGAGCGTAGGAAAAGGAAGAGAAAAGAAAGATCGCGCGCGGTCGGTGGACCGTTTGTTAGGGTACTGCTCCGGCATTCGGCTGGTGTTGATCGGAGAAACCACGCTAAACTACCGAATTATAGAATTCTCCTATAGACAGCGACTGAATTCGTCGTAGCGGTTAGGGTAGTATCGATAATCTTACCACCGTCGGGACAGGAACCTAGGACCTCCCGATCAGAGCCACTACGGTGACATCAGTTTATGCCCTGAACTACCTCTCCCGTTCGCGGTTTTATCGTCCCGTCTTGTCTCTGTACCCTCTCTCGCCTGCCCCATCCACATTCAGCCCCATTCCTGCGTCCGCGGCGCTGCGGGCGCCAGCAAAATGCCGCTGCTGCCAAGACAGAGCGGAGGCCGGTGATGACGCGGAACAGACGTCGCGGCGCGGGGCCGACGGATGCCACTGCTGCATTACGTCTCTCACAGCGGCCCCTGCGCCTCCGCCTCCGCCACCGCCCGCAGAGCGGAGCGGCGCGCCGTCCTCGCCTTGCGCGGGTGACAGCGTCGCTTTCTCCCGCCGCCATCGCTGGGAGTGGAGGCGGGCGCGGGTGTCCTCCGCAGCGGCCCTCGCTGGCGCGCCCGCGCCCTTCTTCCGCCAGAGCGCGCCCGCGTCGCTTGGACGCCCCGTCGCGAC